AAAAAAAAAGAGAGACACTTTGAGCCAGAGACAACTGAATTAACTTTATTCTCTTCTAACTGCAGATTCAAGGTATACAACTGAACATTGCTATTTTTCTTATGAGACTTATAAATAAAAATACAAAAAATGTTCACTACAAAAAAATCTACTGTTAGTAGGATGTAAAAAATATTCTCTTTGCTATAGAAGGCACAAACTTCACTTAGTGACACATGGAGAGAGAAAAAAACCTGCAGCAGTAAATTCATTTTTTCTTCTTTCTTTTTTTTTTTTTTTTTTTAATCTTGTCAGAATCACTGAAATTACAAAGAAACGCATCAATCTACACGAAACGAAGGCAGATGCGGAAAGCGGCAACCAGGACCACACGACTTCGGGACCAGGACAGGTAGGACTGGCAAGCACAGCTTCAGAGAGAGGGTGGGGCAGGGGTGGGGGGGAGAGCCAGAGGCAGGGGAGAGGAAGAGAGGGGAGAAGGGACACCAGCGAGGAAGGGAGGAGGAGATGGGAGGAGAGGGCAGAGCAAGGGGCGAGAGGGAGGGAGAAGAAGAGAGGGGGAGGGAAGAGTGAGTCAGGGATAAAGGTGGGAGACAGGGAAGGAGAGAGGAAAGAGATCAATTTGTACAAAAAAGTAACCAATAAAATTGAAGAAACAAAATTGGGCAACCTCCTAAAATCAGGCTAAGAGGAGGTGCTGAGGTAGACATTAACTAGAACATCGATGAATTAGAAACACGATTCTGTGAACACAGAGCGATCGGACTGGCACTTGTGCTGTCACGACATAAGACGAGCCACAGAAACAAACAGAACGTAACACCCAAACCAAAAGGCTTAGCTTTGCTTGGTCCAGCAGGGCAGCGGGGCCCTCAGTGCTATAATTTACATACATATATATATATTTATCTTTATATATACGGGTCGGATGTCATGGTGCACCACCACGCCTCGCCACCTCACGGAGATCATGCATGACACGAGGGGACACACACTATGCTACACACCAGGAGGCTGGGACCCTGTCTGCAAAGTGGGATGCACGGCCTGGAGCGCCAAGGCTGCTGGCTGGGGGGCCTGGGGGGCTACACGCCCTCCTTTCTCGCCACCCCGCTCCCCTGACCCGACCTCCCTGGTCTGTCCCACGCCCCTCTTGGCCACCTCTGCTGCTTCTACCCATCGGCCCCAGCGCGTAGGGTCAGCCTGGCTTTTGTCCTCTGGCTGAAACACCCAGGTAAGTGCTGTCATCCTAGCCAAACCCGCAGAAGGTCCAGGAGGGAGGGGAAGACGACTGTGAGACAGACCTCGGAGAAGGGGACGGGCAGTCTCGTCCTTTCCTGCTTCTCTGTCTCACAACCTGGTGCTCCCACTTTTCGGCCTCGTTCGGCTGGCAGGGAATTGGCCCAGAACTCCCCAACACCCCCCCTTACACAGAGGCCCAAGGCCGCCCTGATGGCTGCCTCTCCCTGTGAGGACACGGGCCGAGGCCTTCCCCCCCAGCAGTTGTACCAATAACACCCAGAAAGGTACCATACACTTGTGAAAACCGGCAGCATTTTTTTTTTCTTTTTTTTTTTCTCTAAACATGGAAAACCTTCAGGCACAAAGATTAAACACGCCTGTGTTACATCCCTGGATTGTACTGAATCACTGGGTCCCTCGGCGCCCTCCCCACCCCACGCCCCACGTCTGCCTTCCCAGATCCGTGGTCTCCTCCACCGCAGCCCAAAGCAGCAATGATACTTACTAGTTTATATCTCTCTCTGGCTATATATATATATATGTATATATATATATAATCTATATATATATCTATATATTTGTCTATCCCCTATACACATAGGATTCTAATGCTTTGAATGAGTGAAGGAGTGAGGAGGGAAGAGCATGGGGGTGAGGGGCACACGCCCCCAGGGCAGGAGCTGGACACGGGGAGGGCTCTTGGCCCACGTGGACTTTCGTGGGGGGGAATCCGCGACGCTGGATAAGGCAGCCAGGATGCCGCAGGGGCCCCGTGGCAGGGAAGAGGGGAGAAAATACTCAGATCTCACCTGGGTGACAGTGGCCTCCACCCTCCCCGGTCCTCTTCACTCCAGACACATCGAGAGCCTTGAGAGCTTCACACCCACCCCCGGCCACATGGCCTGGCCACAAAGGCCGTGGCAACTCTAGAAATGCCTTGTCTTCGTCGGTAGGACCCTGGGGGGAGGCTCGTGGACTCTACTGAGGTGTCTGGAGCTTCATGGGGGTGGAGGGGAGTGCGCAGGTGGGATGAGGCACCTACCCGGTGTCCCTCTGAAGCTACCCCCAACTCTCCCCACCTTCTCCCGGGGTGTGCAGAGCCCCCAGGGACAGGGGAGAGTGGACAGCTGCTGACCACCCAGTGTGCAACACCAGATCACAACACCGCGGCGTGGTTAACACACAGCCACACAGAGCACACGCACGCACGCGCACACAGGTGCAAAGGATGTTCTGTTGCTGTTGGTGGTGGATTATTTTTTTGTCTTTTTTGTTGTTGTGTTTTGTTTGTTTGTTTGTTTTCCTATTCACATTACAAAAGGCCAGGGCAAGGTCCTGTAGAGCTGACGAAGGAGCTAACAAATATTACAAAAATACTACAGTCTGTAAAGATGAGCTCAACCCACTCCGCTTTTATGAATGAGATGGGAGGGACCCAGGCTGAGTGGGGCGGGCAGGGCAGTGAGGGGCTGGCTAGTTCTACTAGTTCTGTGGAATCATTGGGTTGTTCTGTTCTGTTTTGTTTTGTTTTTTGTTTTCTGCCCCACCCATGTGAAATGAGATCTTGCTGTTACAAATACTGTGTTCTGGGATTTACAGATCCCCTGAGGGCCAGCTCGCCCCTTCCTCCCAGGTGGGGGAGAAGCCATAGTGCATCGCGAGTGTGTACAGGCCGCGCCTCCCCCGGACGGTGCCACTCTTCACATTATAAACACAACTGTTCTAGTCACAGGGCTCGAGTTTCACTAAGTTGTCCTTAGAGTTCCAAAGAGCATCCTCCCTACTTTATCACCCTACCCAGCAGTCTAGTGACACAGTCCCCTCCATCCACATCCCCCCAACACACACTTTTTAAGGCCTTCAGATTTGGTGGACGAGATTGAAGGGGAGGGCGGGAGGGACGGGGCCGAGGGACAGGGGGGTGGTCACAGCAGCACCCAGCCCTCCGACTTCCCTATATTCCTCACAACCCTTCTCCCCAAAACCGCTTTCCTAAACCTCTTTTTAAAACCTAAGCTCAAAACGCAGTCACAACTTTCTCAGAGAGAGAAAGAAAAGAAAAATAATAATAATAATAAAAACTCTTACACATAAAGCGTGAGGTGAAACGGAGGGGCCCGTCCCACGGCAAACGAGAACACTGCAAATGTGCTTTCCAAAACTCGGGGCGGGGCAGGATGGGAAGAGCAGCAGAACGGGGCGCGAGAGAACAGAAGACCGGTGGACGAACGCAAGAGGTAGCTTTCAGAAACACCCACCCAGCACTGCCACCAGAGGCTGGATCAGCACCGGGCCAGCCGTGAGAAGACACCGATTTGGCAACGACGCAGAGGCAGGCCGCAGAGCTCCCGGGATCTGAACACAGGCCCTCAAGCCTGAACGGCCCAGCAACAGGTCAAAATGACAGATTCTTCAGAGTGTTCCAGCCTGAACCAGTGCTGGGTACAGATGACATCATGCCCTAGACAAAGCCCACAGTGACTCCTGAGGGTCCCTGTGGGGACAGGGAGACCCCAATGCATCGCTCCCTCCGCCCACCTTCTTGCCCTCGCTGGCCTTGCGTTCAGATCCTGAGCGCTCTACTTCTCCTCAACAGTTCCTTCCAGTGGGGAGGCTAGTTACTAGGGGGCTGGGAGGGCCTTGGCAGGTGAAGTCCATAAAACCAACTATTACTTTATATCAGCAACAGAAAAGAACACCCTCCCATTCCTCCAACCCCCAGCCACAAAAGAGATACAGGGGTTAAAAAGCTTATGAGGTCACACAAAACTGAGGTAATTCAAGTACAATGTGCTAACAGGGGACACAGAAAAGAAGCAAAACGTAACACAAGGCCAAAGCGCTTTCCCCTCCTCCAGCCCCTGTGGACTGAGGGGCCTGTGGATCAGGACTCCTGTGCTGCTCTCTGGACTGGCTCCCCGGCTAGGCCTGGGGTCCCTAAACCTTGCTGTTTAAGGGTCCCAGTATGACTCAGTGACTTCCTCCCCAGCCAGCTCTGCCACCCCCTGGGTGGGGCAGGGGAGTCCTCTTCTCCAGGCATAGGGCCCATTGAGAGACACCACACTTCCTGGGGACCACAAGCCCTGTCAGGATTCCTCCTCCCGGGGCGGGGCATAATCAGGGCACAGGGGTTTCTGGTGGTTTGTTTGTTGGGATATTCTGTATTTCATTGTTTTCTCTTTTTGGAAGCAAAGCA